TGGAACCGTAGATATTTTCTGAGATGCACAGCAATCATGAGAGCGTGCAAGAAGAAAGGTGAAGAGAGTTTTCTGAGGATTCAAGCCACTGCACAACTGTACAAAGAAGAATTTGGCAAAGAATCCTATGACAAAACCATCTTTGATATCAATGTTAGCTAAGATGAGTCATGGCACAAATGACGTCACAATTCTAATTTTGGAACTGGTTGTCTTACTAAAGCATATTCTACTACGATCTCAATCTCAATCTCAACAGGTAATACACAGGGTGCTGATAATTGCATATCATGCATATGCATGGTTGGTTGCTTGGGTTGGGGAAAAGAATAAGGGTATAAGTTGCAGTGTTGGTAGTTGTGAAGGTGCTTGTAATGTAATGTGTTTGTTCAGTGTCAGTGAAGGCATTGAGCATTCTGGGGTAGCCTGTTCCAGTTGCGTATGGTATGTGGAAAGAAAGAGTGCTTGTAAGAGTTGTTGTTGGTGTGAAATGTGATGAATTTACTGTTATGTGAGTTCCATGCATTGTGTGTATGTGCTCCTGGTAGGGATTTGTCTTTGTTAATGTCCATAAGATTGTTTGTGATCTTGTACATGATTGTTAGTCTGTGTGCTTGTCTTCGTGTCTTGAGCAGGTACATGTTTATCTGATTTTTTATGAGAGTTGTAATACCAGGTATACCTGTGTAACTGTGTGTAATAAATCTGGCAGCCCTAGTGTTGACTTGTTTGACTTATTCACTGTTGCGCTTGGACTAAGGGTCCCATACATTACTCAAGTGTTGGCCGTACAATTGTATTGTAAGCTACATGTTTGATATCTGGTGTACAGTTGTGTAGGTTCTTTCTCAGAAACCCAGTGTTTTGTTTGCTTTGTTTGTGATAAAGTCAATGTGAGTGTTAAAGGTAAGATTGTTAGCGAGGTGAACTACAAGGTATTTGAAGGATGCTGTAGGTGTCAGTTGGTGGTTGTGTATACAGTAGGTGTATTGTACTGGTGTGAATAGTGTGAAAAGCATTACTTACAGTGAACAAGGAAATTTGATTTTAAAATCATTTTATATTAAGGTGATAGCAAATTATCAAATATACCCAAAAAAGACAAATAACAAAATGCTTTGCTTTTAAAACTTTTCTGATATACAAACTGAAAAGTAACAAAGAATCCAAAAGAGATTTTAACCCCATATGCAGGCAACTCCTGTTGTGAGTGGGTTAACTGCTCATACTCTTGACCAACCTTAATGTCTTCTTGATTCAAGTTGACAATATCCTTGACAAGGCTGTTGGTGAAGTAAAGGTTCCTCTTCTTGCCCTCCTTGGTCCGGCTGAGGAAGAGGCCTGGCCCAATCTCTTCCCGAATGGCATAGAAGTCATTAATGCCTGGCCACACAACTTCATCGTCCTCGAAGTAGTAGTAGGGAGCCTCCTTGAACCCCTGTCTTCGCTTCTTCTTAGGTGGCTGTGAGAAGTAATGTACAGTGTGAGTAGCATTACTAATTTTATCTCAAAATTCATTCTGTATTATGGTGTTGATAGCAAATTATCAAAAATACCCCCCCAAAATAAATAACAATAAAAAAACATTGCTTTAACAACTTATCTTATATCAAAAGTACTCCACGGAGTAAAACAGAAGCACAAACCCATTATCTTTTACAGTAGAACCTACTACCAAAACCCAAAATGCCCATCATTCTCAACAAATTGTATTAACCTGACACAAGTGAGCAAGATGCCCAAACGCACTTCCTTAATCCTCTGAGTTTTGTGTGACTCGTCCTTCTGCTCTGTTTGCTCACTTGGCTTGTACACCTTCTCTCCAGGCAAAGGCTTCACCTTCTCCAGAACGGCCACAAAGAAGCCGCCTGTGTCTTGCTGGTGTGGTAAGATCCTGATACTGTGGTGGAAAGGGGAAGGGAGCACATTTACAAGCCTGATATCTTATACATTTGCTTTATTCCACTGTAATACATAGGCACACTCCAATAGGCAAATTAATAATAACAAGTATTAACTCTTAATGCAAAGTACCAAATATAACAGATATAAAACACCAAGAAATTTTTACTTGTGGTTAAGAACAAAACTCAGCTAAATCAAAAGAAATGCAATATCCATGACTCCAGTTAACCTAAACTAAACCTTTCAGCTTCATCTTGCCTCAAATCAAGTTAGTTTTCTTTCTTTTTTTATTGTAGCTCTTCCTTTTTATTTTCTGACATGTTATTATGCTCTGCTGACTAAATACGTCCAGCCCCAGAACTCACTCACCATCTACGGAGATTGAGCTTCTCTCTATCCTCTGGTGCTGGTGGGAACAGGTGCTTGTTGAAGAGGTTGGTGTTCTTTAGGGGAATATCTGCCACAGTCTTTATCACTTCCATCTCTCTGTTCATCAGGGTCCATTCTTCAAGGCCAGGAATAAACTGTTGGGAGGGAAATGATGCAACAATTTGTAAAATCTTAATAAAAGAAGGGATTCTAATAATTTTTAATATGCGCTAATTGTCATAATGTAATATAAATTGTTATTGCAGGTGTATTCATGCTATACTAGAAGTATGAATATGAAAAAAGTGTGAAAGAGTCTACTGCACCTTGAGTCCAGGTAGCTGCTCTGTTACATCCAGCAACCTGATGGAGCCACTGCCCTCGATAAGGAGACGCTGAATCACAGCTTCATTCTCAAGGGGATTGAGGGAGCATGTAGAGTACACCATGCGTCCGCCCACCTCCAGCATCTCCAAGCCACGCCGGGCTATTCTCAGCTGCAAACTAGGGGTGAGAGTTGAGAGAAAGCGAATCAAAGAAGGATTCTGAAAAGCCTAAAGCCCTTGAAATGAGATTTCCATTTTTAAAAAGGAACAAATAAATAATATATCACATACATATATATATATATAAATAGAATTCCATTTTAGCTCTGTACTTGTTTTACTATGTTTGTATTTTTGGACACTGTGTCTCATGTACCACTTCTGATGTCTCATCTTCATCATTATCTTAAAAAAAAAAAAAAAAAAAAAAAACAAAGTCTGATAAAGAACAAAGACCACTCTTTTACAAAAAAAGTGCTGAACTACATGTATTTAGATAAATAGATATTCAAATCTAAAGTTCCATGGATATTACTCCTCTACCAAAACTAGAGTATGACACTGACGGTTTGCCAACAACCCCCTTGATCAGTGGGTGCAAGTGTTTCTAAAATTCAAATGCAATATTAGGTTAATAAAGCTGTTCCAATTTATGCAATATAACAGGTAGGGTAATTTTACATAGATACGTATCCTCCAAATGTAAAAGAAGAGTTAACATAATTCAACATTAAACAGTATCAGACATGGCCTGCCTTGCCCATCAACCTGTGCACAAACTCACCCATGGAGATTGGCTCCATTGGCAGGATTCCACTTGGCCCACACATCAAAGTTCTTGCGGAGGGTGCCATCTCCTGAGCAGGGAACATCACACAAGATGCGGTCGTACTTGAGAGGCCCGACACTTCCATCTGGAAATGGGGTTATTACAAAGTGCTTCATATTCATCATTACATGATAAATATAATTTTTTCATGCTCCCATGTAAAACATGTTCTTCCAGAAGAGAAATACTATACATATTTACAATACACATCACGTCTCAGATTTGTTTACCCTTCCGAGTATGGTAGATCTTGGGCATGAAGGCAGCATCATGATTGGTAATAATGATGGAGGGGCTCTGGAGACGCTTGGCCTGATGTGTCAACATGTAGCAACGGCGGTTGTCAACATCATTTGCAACAACAATCCCTTGGGGAATGGCTGCTCCCAACTCATCCTCAGAACAATGAAGGAACTCAATCAACTGCGCTGTCTTGCTTCCTGGGGCTGCACACATGTCTAATATCTTCGAGAAAAGGACAAATCTAAAGTTGCTTTTGCAAAAGATTATCCACAAAAAGTGTAGGAGAATGAACCACATTTTCCTTGAATGTGAAAAAATATAACCACAAAGATCATAATTAAAAAGTACTCCTTAACAGAACGGGACAAAGTGAGTTTAGTTTTCCAATGAGAAAGGCTATAATAATCATTGCACTGATAATAACATATAGTGCACTGAGGTTCTTCAAATCTACACCTATCCCCTGGAGGGTCAAGACACTCTTACACATAACACAAACAAGCAAACAAATGCATATACAAATATACAGTTATTACATATTGCATAGCTTTGTTAAAAAGAGATTATTAAATTGATGAACGAAAAATATTTCAAACAGTACGGCAAAGCACTCTACCTTATGATGTGGTTCAACATTGAGCACTAGCGGAGGGATCATACTAACAGCTTCCTGCCTACTGATGTTGCCTGTCTCTGTCTCCGAGATGAGGCACTGGTGCAGCTGCCAGTAGGCCTCGCATCTACGGATGTTGCGTCGTGTCAAGTTCAACTGCCAGGCGAGGTTGTCAGGGTACCTTGGGGTGAGAGGGAGAGAGATTATGCATGCTTAAAGTTGATGGATTTTCATTATGGATCTTAATGTTATTATTTCTTGTTATAATTTTCATTCTGGTTTAGATTATATTCTATTGGCTATATCTTTTTTTCCTGTGGGTCTGAAAATATACTGTGTATTACTTTAACCCCCTAGCAACTGGTGATATGCCTTTACAACATGGAGAAAAATTCCAAGTGCCTGGTCATACTTCATCACATGATGAGTTTTTGTTCAATTGCTAGGCAGCATGACATATTGCGATGTCGTGATTTGGAAATTTAACCACATGTCACCAATGAGCCAATTGCAAGAACTACCTGTATCATCTGTTTACTCTTTTCCTTGATTTTTTATATTTTTTGGTAATTAATATTGTTGTTTGTAATGTCAATAACAATATAGTAATTACGATGTTTATGATAAAAACATTATCAATATTGACAGCTTTTGTATATAATAATAATAATATAAAAAAGAAGTTTTTTTTCCTGCAAATTCAAGGCAGGTGAAA